TTAGTCTTAGTTCAGTCTTTCCTGCTTCTAAAACAAAACGTATTAGATACTAAGTCGGAGAATTACTCAGGCTTCCTCACACCATTTGATCTACCACAAAACCTCACTTCCTTAAAACCTTCTCTAAGTCACCTCATATATCCCCAAACCTAAAAACGGGTCACTTTAAAAAGCATCATATTTAAGTCTCCATAATGCATGCTATTCCTGCACGCTTGTTCAGACACAGGCGAGCTCCTGGGGCTCTGCAGCCCCAAAGAACTGCCCTCGTGAGCGTTAGCATAACAGTTCTACTTTAAAAGAATTTGTCTTACACGTATACTTTGAAATGGAAAGATGTGAACAAGGATGCTGTGTACTCAGTTTTCACAGAAAAATCCCATAAATGTTTATTACCAAGTGACTGATTAAATAACATGTGATACAAACTATATAAAAAGGTATCTGTAGCTGCTAAAAAGCATTTTGTATAAAAACTGCAAAATACTGATGAAATAAATTAAACCTAAGGAATCAGATAGCAATATTCTGTTCATGGGTCAGCGCATTTACTGTTCTTAGATGTCAATTCCTGTCAAATTTACTACTGATTCAAAACTATACCAACTGAATCATATACATCAATTGAAACTTCCACATAAATTGACGAAATGAGACTAAAATCCACATAAGGCGGCAAGAGTAAGACTGAAACAACTTTGGAAAAGAGCATTAGAAGAATTGTCTTGCTTGATCTCACGACATTGTCAAGCTACAGTAACTGCGGGCTGGGGAAATGAATCAGTGGTTACAGTACTCACGGCTCAAGTATGAGGATTAGGGTTCAGAGCCTTAGAACTCACTTACATGCCAGCAAGGCATAGCGGCCCCCTGTAATTTCAGTCTTGGAAGGTGGAGGTATGGATCCCCAGAGCAAGCTTGCTATCAAGACTAGCCCTACCAGTAAATTCTGCCATGCTGAAGAGACCATGACTCAGTGAATAATGTGGAAGAGCAATTGAAGATGAATCTCAATACCTACTTTGGGCCCGCTCATGCATGCACACCACTGTACATGCACACCGCCCCCCGACATGTCTGCAAATAAGCAAACATACATATACAATCTTCCATGTATATCACATGCACATAATACAACAATGGAAAAAATAAAGAACAAAAAGCTACAGTGATTATAAGACATTGTAACACTGAAATTAAGATATACAAGTGGATCAATGGAAGATGTAGAAATAGACCCATATATACAGGGTACAGAAATAGACATACAAACATATATATATATGGACAACTGCTCTTTCGGTTACACATTAAATTTATACAGTAACCATAATGTGGGTATTAGTATTTGAAAGTTATCCCTTTTAATTTTTTAGTGCTTACAAAAAGGAGATTCTCAAATGAAATATGAGACAACTGATTTTTGGCAAATACATAAAGGCAGCCACATGGAGAAAGAAGAACCTTGTCAACACATAATAAAGAGGAAAACATAATAAAGAAGAACCTTGTCAACATATAATGGAACTTCCTGATGTTGTCCCGACCAAAAAAATAATTACTTGCACATGTAACTTGCACTGAACTATAAACATTGAAATTACATCAGTTGTTAAACTTAAAACTATAAATATTTTAGAGATAGAAAATATAAGCTGGGTGGTGATGGTGCACACCTTTAATACCAGCACTCAGGAAACAAAGACAGGCGGATTTCTCTGAGTTCGAGGCCAGCCTGGTCTACAAGAGCTAGTTTCAAGACAGTCTCCAAAGCTACAGAGAAACCCTGTCTCAAAATATCTAAATATATAAATAAAATAAAACATTTTTTGACTTAGCTAGACAAAAATTTATTATATATACAGCAAATCCCAACTCATAAAATCATTATTAATAAAATATTTATTTTATTATTAAAATAATTAGTATTAATAAAACCTAAAAAAATCCATGCAGGTAGGAGGGAGACTTGTTGAGAAACAGTGCTCCAGTGGGAGAGGGAGGAGCATGAGAGAAAAGAGTGGGGTCAGAAAATGACTACAGCTTAGTACAGAAATGCAAGGAAGTGCCAAATTCCAAAGAAATACTGCTTAGCAAAACTTTTGTAAGAGAATAGATTTAGCACAGACTATGTGAAAATATTTCCAATACATTTCTCTAGCAACATTCTAGTATCCATTATATTTTACAAAAACGAACCGAAAACCTCCTGCAAAAGTGGGTATAGTGGCCCATGCTTGTAAGGCCCACTTGGGAGTTGAAGCAGGAGGGTTGCTGCAAGTTCGTAGTCTAGATTCTAGTACCTTTTAACACTAACAAGTCATTAAACAATGGTTTTAAAAAGACAAAAGATTTACAAATACTTAACTGAAGAAATATGGATGGCAAATATACATGAGAAATACCCAACATCTGTAATTATTAGGCAAATGTAACTTACAACTACTTTGAGGTATGGGAAAATGAAATGACTGGTCATAAGAAGTACCGGTAAGGGTGGAGAAGAATAACATTTACATACTGTTTTTGCAGTGTAAACTGGTACCGCTCTGGGGAAAGGAAAAGTTAAAACACACTGTATAACACAATACCCATTCCCATGTCTTAAACCCAGATCCAATAAAAGTACATATCCAAAGAAACACTTGCACATCAATTCTGATAGCAGCTTTATTTTCTGTAACTCAACTTGGAACCCAATGCCAACTGACAGCTGGATGAATAAACCAACTACGGTAGACACAGTGGACCATTACTTGACGTTAAAATCTGATGAACTACTAAGACATACAACATGGATGAAACTGAAATAATTAAATTATGTTAAGTGACAATAAGCCAATATCCCTCCCATGAGCAAATGGTACGTGATTTCTTTTATAGGGAATTAGGCTGTGTTGCTAGAAAGCAAGTCAGTAGTTCCCACAGGATAAGAATAAGGCATTACAATGAGGCATCTTGCTAATGGTCATAGTTCAGTATGTCAAAATGTATCAAATGGTACACTTTATGGCGGTATTTGAAGTCTGAACCAAGATTTCCTACAAGTACAGGGAACTATTGGTTAATGTGAAAGTTTATTTGCTTTCGAGCAAAGATTTGGATGGCTTGAGAAACAGGGTGAATTATACATGGCTTGCATTTCTATGTTGGACAGAACTTTTATAGTATCATGTAGGGAAAGGATTCAAGGCTGGGTCATGAAAATTGTGCACTTTAAATATTCAGTTTAATGTATGTGAGTTACATTTCAGTAAAGTTGTCATAAAAGCATGTGGTAGATTTATATACCAATTTGTAAAACTGATCAGTGGAAAAGGCAAATTGAATACTATATGCCAATTTTTGAAATGAATAAATTTGTACACTATGTAAAAATATGAATGGAAGAACACACTTTATATTGAAAAGAAAAATAAAATAATTTAATTATTGTGTAGGATATTAACATGGAAAAATATTCATAATATGGTTGTATGACAAAAAGTTACAAATAGTACTTAAGTATGATTTATCTCTTGCCTGAAAATTTTCAAGCAAGTAACGTGATGATCTCACACATAAGGCTTTTCCTCTATTGTCTCAGACTAGGGTTTGCAATTCCTACTGTGAGTGTTGGAGAAACCAAGCCCGAGTCTCAAAGTGCTCAGAAGCTTTCTGGAAAATAGACTTCTAGAAATTACTACCTCGAAGATGAAACAGCAACCTCTCTCCTTGCTCCTTTTCCTATATTGCTAAAGTTGCAGTTCTGCGTATAAATCTCTCTAAATTCCTCAATTTTAGGAAGCTGAAATATAGAAAATGGGCATGCCTATCAGACATTTCTAACCTTTTGTGTAATACATGAATAAATCACAACTCATTTAAATATGGCCATGACTTTGCAAGGAAAATAAAAGTAATTTGCTTTCTTAATGCATGCTATGAAACAGTGTATGTCAGTGGTTGTGAACCTGTGGATCATGACCCCACTGGGGACTGAACAGCCCTTTCACAGGGGTTGCATATCAGATATCCTGCATAACAGACATTTACAGTATGATTTATAACAGTAGCAAAATAAGTTGTGAAGTGGCAACCAAATAATTTTATGGTTGGGGTCACCACAACATGAGAAACTGTTTTAAAGGGTCACAGCATTAGGAAGATTGAGAAGTACTGTTGTATAGAATGATTCTGGCTCTTTGAAAAAAGTACACACAGAAAGACAGGATCAAGCCTCACTTTCTTTACAACCCCTACATCTACCTCTTATTTGCACAACGAAGTTTTGGATATCAATTTCCCACATACTGCCTGGTAAAATACATATATCCATCTCAGGTTTTCCTCCTGACATCTAGCCAAGTACGGCCAAATGCCTAGTGGACATGCACTTGGAGGAAGCTAAAACCTGTTAACCTGGTAGGGAACATTATTCACCACAAAAAGCAAACTACTCCCAAAGCCAAGCTTGTCTCTGTGCTGTGAAGGTGCTCACCTACAGAGGGGAATGAGTGTTGAGGTAGTATATATAGTGAGATGGGTCCCGCTGTGAGAAAATCACCTGTGCCACCTGCTAGCTGGGAGGAGCTCGGAAAAGGGATTTATTGGTTACAATTCTGACCGCGGAGTGTTTAGGATGAGATTAACAAAAGTGTGAGTTAACTGACAGTATCGTCATAAAGGGAATAAACTTGTAAAAATATTCTGTGACTCTAAGCACCCAACAAGAGTAGGCAACTTCCCTTTCACGCCTGCCTCCTTTTGCTTTGAGATGACTGACATAGATGAAATAGTCTAAAAATCTGAATTTAAAATATACTCTAGATTTTGTGTAATTCTGAGCCATACTGTGTTCTGTAATGAGTGTCTGCCATAGTTGGAATAAGGGGGAATAGAAATCCCTCTTATATTTAATAGCCTATATTAACCTGCTTCTTTTTCGTATCAGGAGGACACATTTGGAAATAGGTATATATATGCATGTATATATCATGTATACGAGCACACAATGTAGGTACCATCAAGTATCTTTATTTTCATACACCTTATTTCTATAACTAGATTACAAGACCAGTAGTTTCTTTTTTGCTATCTGGAGCCACAAATAGATCTAAGCAGTTATCAATCATCAAGACACTGTACTTTTGACATCTGGATCACAGTTTCCTTAAGTAAAATGTTAAAAATTTGCTAATCTAGGTAAGATAGAAATCAATAAACCTGTTTATCTCAATATTTAATATTCATTTGATAAGCCAAAAATGTTTTAGATTTCAGCTAGAACCTGCCACAGGTAATAATTTGAAAAAAGATGTTAAGACAAAATGTGTGAGCAGTTATTACCAAAATAGTTTGCAAAACTCTTTGGGAATGTTCAGCCAATCAGAATTTGGACACTGTTCAGTGTTCTCTTTGGTTTTTGGGTCATTTTACATTCTTTCAATAATGCATTTAACTTCACGGAATATGGCAGTAAGAGTATTGTAACTCATGTGATCGACTACTACAATTGAGCCCTTTCTAATATGCTCCTTTATGTTAATAAAGATGGCCACAGCACTAACAAGATTTGCTTTCGCCTCTTTTTGGTTAAAGATGAGTTTTAATGCTGCTAATGCCTTCATATTGATCATATCTCTGGCTGCCTTTGGATTTTCAGACATATTCAAAAATACTTTCAAAACAAGATTTCTAGTCTTACGATTTCCCTGGGACAGCAAATGGAAAAGCTCTGAAAAGTAACTCACGACAATGTAGTGATGGACAGACTCAGTAGTCAGCTGCCCTATTATCTTTAATCCAGACTGCTGACCGGGTGAGTTCAAGGGGAAAGACACAGTTTCTTTACACATATGCTTAACATGAAATTCTACTTTGTGTTGTCTTTCATCCCCAGAAGAATTCAGAGTAATAACAGTCTTTTTTCTACTGTCAGGGGAAGAAAAACTGAGCAAGCTTTCAATAAGTGTCACCACACCCACTTCATTAATGAATTCCCGGGCAAACGGATGAACTTTATGTATGCCCATTGCTATCTGTGCTATTTTATGAATGAGGGGATCAGTAGTTGATTTGAGTATGTTAACAAGCTTTTCAAATTCTGGAGAATCTAAATAGCACTCCATTTTGCAAGCGCACGCAAAGGGCTTGATGCCATTCGTTTCTCTGATCTTGATTTGCTCTCTAATTTCATCTAAGGTCTGGATGCAAGGATCAGAACCAAATGGATACTCAGGTATAGGCTGTAGGCTTGATCGAGTATTCTTAGTGCAGGCTGTTGTTGAAGTTTCTTCTTCATTTGAGGCCAGAACAATATATGACGAGGCCCTTCCCTCAGAAGAGTCCTTAGATCTAAAACCTAACACTGCCGGAATTACAGCAGGAGCTTTAGGCCATATGGTAACCTCAGACCAGTCCTTTGGCCTATTCTTTTCATTAATTTCATCCACTGGTTGAGGTTTAACTATTCTGAACACAGGTTTAGGATCAGGATCAAAACCAGTGTCATCTCCTTCCCAAAACCAGTTCCCAATAACATTCTCTTCCTCCTCCTCCTCTGGCCCTGACTTAGACCTGTGGCTGGTCCTAGGGGCAGGCTCTGACTCCTCTGGACGGGCCTGAGGAACAGTATTAGTTTTATTTTCACACTTAGCAACAGAATTATTACTAAGCTCTTCTCCCTTCCAGAACAAGGAATTGAGACCAGAATCTTCCCCAGCCCAGAACCAGGTATCACTACCAGCCTTCTCTTTCCGTGTAGATCTGGCAGCCCTGTTCTCAGCCTTATGGCTGTAATCATACGAGCCTTTTCCTGGGCCCTTAGCCCCTTCTCTCATCTCAGTCCTGCTCTTAGACCCCGCCTTCATCTCTGCCACTGCATCTGCTTTTGCTCCTCCCTTAGCTTTTCCTTTGTCCCGGTTTTTGCCTGAAGCTCTGGCATTACTAGCCTCCCTCTCTGCTATAGCTTTGGCTTGTGCACTTGCTCTTTTTTCTAGTTTAGCCTGTGCTCTAGCCTTATTCTTTGAGCCAGTCATGATTGAAGCACAGCTACAGACACTTGTCCAGTTTTCACCTTAAGTTCTCTGCTTGGTCCAGGCTAGTATCTTTATCCTTTTTAACTTGGTCAGAGAGGAACTTAGCAGTGTCAAAGACAACTGTCAGTTCAGTAGTTACAAAATTCCCTTTTTTGACATACAGCCTCTATCAATAACAGGGACAGAGTAAAGACACTCAGGTTAGGGGGAAGATGATGATTTCCAAAGGCAAACCCGTTGAAAGCAATCTTCTGCCAATCCAAGGCTACCACTGGAGAGACACCTAAGGTGGGAAAAAGAAATAGACTTTGAGTGTCCTCCAACTCTGGTTCTCTATAAAGATCGCTGCACAGTGGACATGAATGGAGATTTGAACTGTGTGGCAGGAGATGTGGATTAGTAGAAAACTCTGCTATCTCATTGTATTTCTTGCATAGTTGCATCCAGCCCAAGTACTACCATTCTTTTGTCTCCATCAAACACAGCAGTGAGAGTATGTAAGACTGCTTAGAGTAGGAGAGGCTAAAGAGCCCAGACCCCTGTGGTCCTATACTGGTGCATACCATCAGGAATTTCTACGTCTTCAGAAAGGCCTCACACCAACCTGCACTGATGTGATGTGATGTTCCCTTCTTCCTGGCTTCCACAGTTGCAAAGCTGTCCAACTGACTTCACAGGCAGATCTATAGAGAAAAATACGTGTGCGATTAGAATTCTGAGTATCCGACAGACTGATCTAAAATTGTATCTCCAGGTATCATAACACTCCCCCATACCCTGTTCCCTCTTATGGATTCTCTCCTCATTTTCTGGCCCAGTATCTACTAAATACATATTGACCCAAGCTTGGCTCACTGTCCTCCCACTTAGTAATGAATGAGGGCAGCGGCATCTGGAAAGTTAGAACAGAATGGGTCCAAGGTAAGATCTTGCCAACAGCCACCTCTACCACCGACTGACAAATGTGTTCATGCTCACATTCATACTCACCTCAAAACCTAAGGAAGCTTTGTTCTGTCTCTTAACTTCTAAGTGGACAGCTACCTATAAGTCTGTACAGCAGTGCTTCTCAACCTTCCTAATTTTGCGACCCTTTAATACAGTTCATGTTGTGGTGACCCCCCTACTACAAAACTATTTCATTGCTTCTTCATAGCTATAATTTTGCTATTGTTATGAATCCTAATGTAAGTCTCTGATCAGCAAGGTAATTGATATGTGACCCCTGTGGAAAGGGTCATTCAACCCCCAAAGGGGTTGCAACCCACAGTTTCGGAAATATTGCTCTACAGAAACCTAGGAAGAAAGAGGCTTATAGATAATAAAAAGGCAACATCAGAAACAACCAAGTATTGCTAATGAGATTGAAAAGACAGAACACCCCTGACAAGGTTTATAGCACATGTTTTTGTATGCTCACGGTTGCCAATGTCTCCTACATGTCAGCCAGGCCTCAATACTCCCCAGGTGTGCTCAAGACCTGCGACCTTTCTGAATATACATCCTCCCAACCCTGACATCAGGAATTTTCATTCAGGGACCAAATTTATTTCCTGAAGGAAAATACAAGGTATAGAAAGAGAGAGTGGAATATATGCGGTCGTATTTGGGAAGAAGGCAGAGAGGCTAATGAGTTCAATAATTTCAGGACCATATTTGAAATACCAGCCTCCCCACATATGACTAGATCTTACCTCATGTGCTACCGATGCCAGACCCAACACAAAGCAGGATCCTCTGGAGATGTTATCCTTCCCACCAAAGAAGAGTCCTCTAGCTGGAGAAGAGTCAACCTATAGAAACCAAACGATAATGAGAAAAATGTACAAAAAAGTATAATGACCATGGTATGAAATGATTTGGGGCAGAATTCCAGAACCCAAGTTCAAATACTATCTTTAGAGAGTCAGAAACCCAGTGAATGAACTCTATCAACTCTCAGGTGTGACCAGGGGCCCACCTTAAGAAACAGCACATTTTCCCGGATACTGCTTCTATAAAAAAAAAAAAAAATATGAGGGACTAGAAAGTTGCTGAAGATGATATATGGGGCCCCATAAACAGATACTTAAATCCTATTGTGATTTCAAATATTTTAAATTTAACACCCATCTGCACAAAAACTTTTCCTTTACTTTAACTCCCATTCAAACATATCAAAAATGGTCAAAGTAAAATAGAATGTTGAGAAAATGGATCATGAATATAAGATAGGATAATATCATGATATTTATATAGCCAGTTCTGCAATGTGACCAATTCCTTATTATGAACACTTGCTTACAATAAATTAAGCCCAAGAGTCTACATATAGAAGGAAATGAAACAATCACTCCTGTATTGAAGGCAGACGAACATTTCATTCTTATGTTCTGCTGCCTTCATTATTGCCAACTCTAATTATATTTCCCCTTCCCCAGAATGCACCACTCCTACCACTCAGACAGGAGACTTTGTCACCAAGCAGGAGCCTGTGGGAAGAGACTGCACCCACAATGCAGGACACAGGGGCCTCTTTCTGGGATAAGGCCCAAGTAGCAAGGCAATTCATCACCCAGAGCTAAGCTATTCCCAGAGTTGGACACCTGCCTCCAACCCAAGGACAGTGACCTCCAAGGGGCACCACACTCCCCAGCTCCTGAGCCCGCCGCCATTTCTCCCACAGGCGCCTCCCCCCCACCAACCCTCGCAGGGCCCAGACACCAAAAAGGGTGGGGAAAAGCCTGCTGCCTGGCCATCTGCTCCACAGGCCTCCAGACCATCACAGCCAGCCACTCCAGCCGCCCCCTTGCTCCTCAGCCTGAGTCAGGTTCCCGCTTCCTCCTCCCGCCTAGGACCTTCGGGCTCCGGCGACCCGCTCGCCCCCACTGCACTGTCAGGGCCGGGCGGTGGTCCGCAGAGCGCGGCCGCCCCGTGCCCTCGACACACCCCCACTTGCCTGGCCAGGCGCACGGCCCAGGTCTGCGGGCTCCCCCGCGTCCCCCGTCTGCTCTCGGCTGTGCTCCGTCCTCCGCAGCTCCTCTCTCTGGGCTCACGGCGCTTTGCGCGCGAGTGGAATGGCAGAGACGCGTCCCGCCCCCACGCCTCTGCAGCAAACGGGCAGGGGCTGTTGCGCAGGATGCGGCAGGCACAGCTCGCCTCGAGGGTGTCGGGAAGGGGGCGGAGGGATATGGCGCAGGGCTCGACGCCCCCTCCCGGGCCCACCGTAGTTCCGACTCCGAGAGGGCGGGGCTGCACGCAGTCCCGCTCCCCTGGGGAGGGGGTGGGTCGCACAGTGAGCTTCTGCAGCCCCCTGCTCACTTTAACCAGAGACCACCACCACTTTTCTGGCGCCACTCCAGTGTGGGGGGGATGCCTGAGAGCTAGGGTCTATGAGGGCTTTGGAGTGGGGGGCTATAGTAAAGGATGTCTGGAGTTGGGGAGCAAGAGGGAGCAGCGGAGGGATACTGAGCGCTCTTGCACTCGAAAAGGGAGCTGGACAGTTCCTGTCCCTCCCAGCACTCCACCTCTGCTGTGCTTCAGTTCCCCCTCCTTTTCAGAAGCCGGTGGAAAGGGAGGAGGACTTATAGTACAGCAGCTGGAGAGGGGTCTGGTAGCCTAGCAACATACTGAAGAGAGGGCTCTTGGTGCCTCTTCCTTGTTTTTCTCTCAATGCTTTATGGAGTTCCTGGGGGGTGGGGAATGGAGATGTGAGCACCTTTTACAGACCTCACCACTACCCTAAGCTAAAGCATACTTCTGTCCCTGGGAAACCAACCAGGTGTCTGAGCCAAAAGTCATTTTACTTGTTTTTTTCTTACTTGGAATAAAGAAAAACTTATTTGGTCAACATATGACATAAAAGATCTGGGGATTGGTGGGAGTGGATGATGAGGGGCCTTAGGTGATAGACTCAAGGAAAACTAGCAGTGTGCAAGCAAAATTTAAAATATAATTTAAAAACAAAGGAGTTTGAACAGAGGTGTCCTGTATGGGTGGACACTGCTTCAGTTCTCAGAAGAATGAGTTATTAAATGAAATTCCCAGTGCCAGGCACTATGTGTTATTGATCAGAGACCCCAGAGTAGCGTTTCTCAACCTGCGGGTCAAACAACTCTTTCACAGGTGTTATATATTCGATATCCTGAATATTAGATATTTACATTACAATTCATGACAATAGCAAAATTACAGTTATGAAGTAGCAATGAAATAATTTTACGGTTGGGAGTCACCACAACATGAGGAACTGTATTAAAGGGTCACAGCATTAGGAAGGTTGAGAAACACTGCCCCAGAGGCACCTAAAACAACATAAGCAATTTCTGTGTTCTTCGTTGCATACCGTAACTAGCTTTTAAAATTCTATTCCTAAGCCGGACAGTGGTGGCGCACACCTCTAATCCCAGCACTCAAGAGGCAGAGGCAGGTGGATCGCTGTGAGTTTGAGGCCAGCCTGGTCTACAGAGTGAGTTCCAGAACAGCCAGGACTATTACACAGAGAAACCCTGTCTCTAAAAAAAAAGAAAAAGTTTTATTTTTGTATTTCAAAAGAATCCAACATGTGATGTTTTTCTTTAAGGTGGTGATTGTGAAAATTGGGCTTTCTTTATATTCCATTAGCAATGACTATAATAGGAATTAGACATGACTAGTCCCTGATACATTTGTCACACTGACCTAATCAGATAAATCGATCTTGAACTAACCAGGAACTGTCTCTCTGTTGGATGGATTTCAGAGTGTTAGAAGGTGCTGTGCAGGCTACTGGGGAAAAAGACATCAATGGTCATATCCAGTGCTGAACCCTACATGCTACAATACTGCAGGCAGTACTACCAGGCAAGGTGCATATAGTGGCAGGACAGTTAGTTATAGGGCTAACTGATTTATTTTTGATTGCATTCATGGTTTACTCCACAGGAGGGATTTCTTGCTCGGTGCTGTGTACCTAATGAAAATCCATGTCAAGGAGGTCACAGATTCTAGGATAGAACCTGCTATTGTTATGTTAATAAATGGTTATGGAGTCAAACTGCCCTCTACATATTTATTTTTATACCCATAGAATCATGCTGTTCTTAATCTTGGTTCAGAGAAGCTTCATTTGGAAATGAGCAGTGGTTAATGCAGAGATTCATAACTGGTTAAGTGCTGAGTTTAAGTGTAAGTATCAATCCTCCCCCAACAGAAGGCTAAGGGTGCATTGCAGAAGAGGGGCCAAAAACAATGTATGAGGTGGAGGGAGGGAGGGAACGCTGTAAAATGCTGTCAGTCTTCTGGATGTGACATGGACTTAAGGACATAGCACCTCTGGTTTCTGCACAACAGCTGTACATGACCAAGACAGTTAAAATTCAGTAGAAAACCAAGACTGCCCACACCATCCCCACACACTCAGGCCTAATCCTTGATGCACAGGTCACACACCCACTTTGCCTGATAAGCTTTCCAGAACCCCTTCCTCCAGCGTCATTCCCACACTCTCAGGCTTAGCTCCAACTCTGCAGCTTCTGCACTAGGTATTTCCTGTTGACTTCTCCAAGAATGAACCCCTTCCTGAGCTATCTGCTTTCCTGAGCCTGGCTGCAGCTCTAGATATGGAGTTCCTGCACCTGCCTTGCCTGGTGACTTCCTCAGTACCTCAGCTGCCAGTGTCGCCCCATCCTCTCAGGCCTAGCTACTACAGGTATGCAGCTCCTGCACCAGTCCAGTCTTGGGTAAGCTAGAACCTGATACCAGACACACACACAACCAACGAAACAAGTCCACATATTCAGGCACATCGCAAAAACACGAACCATATGAAAGGCCAAGACTATATTGTTCTTCTCCTTCCCCTCTGTAAACTCTAGTCTTATAGAAATGTAAATGTACTCCACTGAGAATCACCCCCAAGAAACACCAGGACACATAATTTAAAAGAACAATCATAAATGTCATCAAGAATTCAAGGAATTTAAAGAAGACATGAACAAAAGCTCCAATGAATATATAGAGTACAGGAATAAATGCTTAAATGATGCCTAAAAATATAAACATACAGCTGAATGAACTGATGAAGAAACTCCAGGATTTCAAGACTGAATTCATTAAAGAAATAGAAGCTGAAATGAAGATTGACTTGAAAAACTCAATAACCAAATTACAAATACAGGGGAAAACCTTACAAACATAACTGATTAAGTAGAAGATAGAATACCAAAACGACTCTGAGATTCTATCTTATACCTGTCAAAATGACTAAGATTAAAACCACAAGTGACAGCTCATGCTGACAAGGATGTGGAGCAAGGGGAACACTCCTCCAGTGCTGATGGGAGTGCCAATTTGTACAGTCACTCCGGGAATCAGTATCGAGTTCCCTCAGAAAATTGGGAGTCAAACTACCTCAAGACTCAGCTATACCACTCCTGAGCATATATCCAAAGGACACCCCATCCTATCACAAGGACACTTGCTCAACTATGTCCATAGTAGCTTTATTCATGATAGCCAGAAACTGGAAGCAACCTACATGTCCGTCAACTGAAGAATGGATAAATAAATTGTGGAAGGGGGGAATGTAGTTACACAATGGAGTATTACTCAGTTGTTAAAAATGACATGAAATTTCAGACAAAAGGATGGAACTAGAAAAAAAAATCATGCAGAAAGACAAGCATGGTATGTACTCACTTATAAGTGGATATTAGCTGTAAAATAAAGGATAACTATGCTATAATCCACAGACTGAGAGAGGTATGCTCAAGGGGGAACACTTGGATCTCCATGGGAAGGGGAAACAGAACAGATTTCTTGAGTAGACTGGGAGCAGGTGGGGATGGGAACAGGATGGATGAAGTGGGGGGCAGTAGAGAAAGAGAGTACTGGAAGAGATGACTGGAATTCGGGGGCATTTCAGAGGTGAGGTAGAAACCTAGAGCAAAGGAAACTCCTAGGAAGCTATGAGGGTGACCCTAGAGAAGACTCCAAGTATTGGGAGATATGGAATCTGAACTGGCCATCTTCTGTAACCAGGCAAGTTTTCAGGTGTAGGGTTTAGGACATCAACCCAGCCACAAAACTTTTGACTTACAATTAGTCCTGCCTACCCTACCTGTGCTAGGGTAAAAGTGGCACAGAACTTCTGGGAGTGGTCAACCAATGACTGGCCCAAATTGAGACCTATGTCATGGCAGACACTGCCTGGAGGGCTAGGAACCAGAGTCCAGATAGTCCAGAAACATAGGACAGATCCAAACACAAACAGAAAATAAATCAATGAAATGATTCTTAATATACTCTGCTATCCTCATAGACCACAGTCTAGTATAATCATCATCAGAGAGGCCTCATCCAGCAACTGATGGGAGCCGATGCAGAGACCCACAGTCAAACATTAGGTGAAGCTTGGGGAAACCTGAGGAAGAGGATGAGGAAGGGTTGTAGGAGCCAGAGGGGTCAAGGATACCAAAACAAAAACAGTCCACAGAATCAACTAATCAGGGCTTATAGGGACTCACAGAGACTGACCTGCCATATGGGCTTGACATAGGCAGTCTGCACATATGTTATGGTTGTGCAGCTTGGTGTTCTTGTGGGACTCCTAACAGTAGGAGTGGAGACTGTCTCTGACTCTTCTGCCTGCTCTTGGATCTCTTTTCCTTCCACTGGGTAGCCTCATCCAGCTTTAATAAGAGGGCATGTACC